CCCCAGGTTCAGCAGTGCCACAGGTTCAGCAAATACAAGCTGCTATTGTTATTACTATTGTTATTGTTATTCTTAGCACTCCCATCAGGTCTGCGGGTGCCAGTCACACCAGCATTCAGAGTCACGTGGGAAGAATTCTAGTCCTTCGCGTTCCTTTCTGTGAAGCCAAACCTTCCGCCACAGGATCTGCCTGCCCCTTCTTCCAGTCACTGCCCACCCTCCCATGCTTCTCTTCTCTCTCCAGACCTCCGTGATGGCCACCTCCTCCCCTTCAAGGACCCATGTCCACTGGGATAAGTCATACCCGGACCCCCAGGCGCTTAGTCCTGGGGATAATGGGGACAGGTCATCCACTCAGACTTAGATGGGGAACGTTCATATTCCAGAGCACCAGGCCTGATTCTCAGGACAAAATGCTATCAGGTCAGTGAATTTCTTTTTGCCCCCACTCCATCCCCATACAAGAGGAATTGTCTTGGGTTGCATACAAAACTACACTTGATGTATATAAGTAACAAAAACTCATTTTTTGTTTTTGTTATTATAACCAAGAAAACAAAAAGGTGGGCTGCAGCTGAAACGTGCTGGCAGGTATCCTGAGGCACAATCTGTGACTTCCTCTCTTAGAAATGTAGAAATCACTGATGTTTCCAAATCACATTACCAGTACTGTAGAGGCCTTAAAATTGTGTGTTCAGTCTTGCCTACTTTGAAAGTAAAGTTACAGATTCATCACTAGATCTTTTATTACTTAATGTGAACTTTAAAAGCTTACATGTTACTATACCACATATTTAAAAGTATTTTTATAGATTTCAGGGCGATTTCTTTGGTAATCTCATATATTTTGTGCACCTAAGACATTACTCTAAGAAGGTGTCACAGACGTTACACCTGCCACAGGGGTCCGTGACAAACGGGCTACCTCCAGGCCACCCTCTTATCCTAGAGGGCTGAGGACCAGTGATGCTGGCTGTAGTATTAGAGGAAAGATGCAGAACTACTTACTGAATTGTGACATTGTAATATTCTTCAGGCGTCACTATTTTGGCTCCACCAAAGTAGTCCAGGACCCAGATATTGGTTATATTCAACTTAGCAAAGAACCAGTTGTGGCTGGATGGCCAGCTTTTCATCTCAGGGTGCCGAGTGAATAATGAGTGCTTTGCAAAGTCCATTTCTGTTTCATTCACCTAAGAGACAAATGTGGAATGAGCACGGCGATAGCAGGGAAGCTCTGCTTTCTCCTTGGTTAAGAATGTGTGATTCTGGCACTCAGCTAATAATCCTGGGCTCATTCTATAAATCTGGATTGTGTACCTACTGGGGCAAGAGCGAATAAAGGAAAGTGGAAGATACAGAGAACCAAGGGCAGGCCAGACAGCTCAGTGGTTTATAGTGTCTGCTGAAGGCAGACCAAGGGACCAGGGTTCGATCCCCAGCATGCTGTGCCAGCCCCAGCCCCAAGCCCTAGCCCTGGTCCTGCCCTGGCCCCGGCCCCAGCCTCGCCTCCAGGGCTCACTGAGGTGTGGTGGCAGGGGCCTACAAGCCCAGCGTTTGGGAGGCTGTAAACAGGAGAATCACTAGAGTCCAATCTATGTAGTGAGACCCTGTAGACCTTGTACTAAACACATAACAATAATACAGAGAACCCTAATGATTTCAAATGTTGCTGGTGGGGCCAGCAAGATAGCTCAGTGGACTTAGTGCCTGCTTAGGCAAGTGCAGGGACCAGGGTTCAATCCCTGGCACCACATGCTGTACCAGCCCCACCTGCAGGTGTGCTGAGTGGGCCACCAAGTCCAGGTGTGGTGGCACACATATGTAATCCTAGCACTGGGGAGGCTGAAAACAGGACACTACAAGTCCGAGCTTTGTAGTTAGAACCTGTACGAAATACATAAAAAAATTAAAAAAAACAATTGTTGGTGGTAGCAGATATAGTGAAGTAGGAACCATCCTAAGTATAGTTCTCACAGCTAAGCAGAGACTCTGAGCCACTCAGCTACCCAGGACAACGCATCACCATGAAGTGTCACAGGTGCACGTAAAGATCTGCAGAAGTAGCATCAGGGACCCTGCTCCTCCCCCTCCTCCTGCCAGTGAAGCGCAGTCAGTGACAGAGATCCATCCACCTACCAAGAATTTCCAGACCAAAAATCAAACTTGTCTGAGTTTTATTTGTTTTGTTTTGTTTTCCCCATGTGTTCTTTTGAGACAGGGTTTTACTATGTAGTTCAGGCTGGCCTTGAAATCACTCGTGGTGATCCTCCTGCTTCAGCCTCCTGAATACTAGGACATTTTGTCCACTGTCTTCCTGTGAATTTATTTAACATCCTCCCTCTAGCATTTGTCCCAAATTCAAAATCCCTTTCCGGTTTTTAGTAACAGACACTCCTCTTGTTGGCCTCTTAGTAACTCCCTCTGCTCTAAGCATTTTTTTTCCCCATCTTTTTGAGACAGGGTCTCGCTATGCAGCTCAGGCTGGCCTTGAGCTCACTTTATAACCCAGACTGGTCTTGAACGTGCAACAATCCTCTTGCCTCAGCCTCCAGAGTGCAGGGATTACAGGCTTGTATCGCCACACACACCCAGCTGCGCGAGCCTCTTTAATAGGGACGGGGGAAATAGCATACCCGTAAAACGTGACAGAGGAGAAGCTCAGGCCGAGCATGAGCTTCCTTACCAAGGCCTTCTGAACACCTTGATGGTAGCAACTGATTATTTATTCTGCTTTTTAAGGTACCAAGAATCAAACTCTGGACCTTGCACTTGCCAGGCAGGCACTTAAACCACTGAGCTATCTCCCTGGCTGGGCAGCAACTAATTAAATCTTTCATTTTTATGGAATTAGTTTACATTTAAACATAGCTTACACATTAGCATATCCTAACTGGGCAGCTGGATCACTAATTGGTTGTATGAGGGCCTAAAAAAACCCCTGGGAAAAAAACCCACCCGGCCCCCCCCCCTTCCCCCCCCTGGAAAACAACCTTCCTTCCCCCAAAAAAACCAATCCGGTTAAAAAAAAAAAAAAGAGATGTCTTTCATTCCCACACAATGATGCTCTTCTAAAGCCATCTCTCCTCTCGAGGTTAGCTACTTACCTTGGTCACCGTTCCTGAAAGCATTATGTGAACACACAGGGGGCTCTGGGGATCGAATAGGTGCTTCCTGCAGAAGTCAGTCTGGGCCAAGGACATGGTCAGCGAGGCGTGCGGATTCTCCTGTAGAGAGAAGATGAAAACCCTCCGTGGGACATACAGTTTCCTGACAGGTAACACATTTTTTGAACCGTGTACATAATGGGCCTAGAGCTGGCACATTCTTCCAGGAAACCCTGAACTATGATTTGCTACCTTCCACGCAGCGGGAAAATACCACTTGGATAAGATGGATCCTGACCCTCTCAGGATATTTCATGTTGAAAGAGAACTGACTCCTTAAGACTATTTTAAAACGATTTTGTAAACTCAAAATCTGTTCCAGTAATAAAAGAAAATGAGACAAAAAAAAAAAAAAATTGAAGCATAGATTCAGATAACTGGAAAAGTTTTGTTATATATTTAAGTCATGACATTTTAAAGAGAAGAATCTTATTTCTGGTTTTGAAATTTGAAGAAAGCACAAAGGATTGCAAAAGGGGAATGTGGGACAAATTGGCTTTTAATGACCTAAAGAAGATCACTGGGTAATATTGAGAGATCTGTTTTCATTGAAAATGAATTTGGGGCTGGTGAGATGGCTCAGTGGTCTAAAGCACCTACTTAGAACAAGCTTAGCAAAGCACAGGGACCGCGGTTCAATCCCCCAGCACCACATGCCAGCCAGCCCCGCCCCCTGGTGGGCTGAGCTGGCCACACACACTAAATAAATAAATAAATAAATAAATATTTTTAAAAAAAGAAAATGAATTTTTTTTTTGAGGTGAACACTTCAATGTTTATTCACATGCTTTGCTTTTCTCTTTTAAGAATCAAAGTCACCCAAATTAAATCTTGCTGCTGAAAATGAATTTTTAAACTAATACAGGTTACAGAATCCCTAACTATTAATATATTTTCCGTACTTCGTAAAAAAAAAAAATGTTCCATATCCTTCAGAGTAATTATAATTATATCACTCAAATTTGAAGCTGCTGATAGCCTGAATCAGCCAAACTAGGGTTAAACCTCTACTGTGAAACAAGTGCATAAAAATGCCCCGCTGCTGTCTCCCAGATGATTACGCCATCGGAGCAAGAAAACTGCTGAATCATGTCGCCTGCTTATCTCCTGAGAGCAGGAACTGTCCATCATGTGATGTCAAAACTGGAGAAGTTGCTCATTCTTGCTGCAAAGAACTGAGAGAATCTATCTCAGATTCCAAATGTAAGGCAAACAAAATCCTTTCCTACTCAGAAATCAGATCCATGAAGGCACTGCTGACAGAATACTGCACATTTTGAGCACTGCATCTCAGACCATTTGGTTCTTTAAACTCTCAGTGGCCTGTGGAGATTTTTGTTTTTGCCATTTCACAGTGATCCACCAGACACAGTGAGTCCTGGAGAGATCAACTTGAAGCCACATAGCCAAAACGTCTGCTCTCTCTAAGCTATTCAGCAGGGCTTTATAGGAAACCCCAAAAAAGCTCTCATGCAAGTTCTCTCCCCAACCTGGCTGAAAAGTCAAAGATAATCAAAGCCTAGAAAATGCAAGACAAACATACAAAAGACATTTGTTAAAAAGTGGAGAAAAACCATAAAGTGTAGTCTGCATTCCGTATAAGGAGATTTCAACATAGCCTGGAGGAACACAGAAGCTATGGGGGGGCGGGGGTCTTACACTTAGAATTAGGACCTAAGTGGAGAACACATTACAGGTGCAGGGAAGGGTGATGGCAACAACAAAACTGGGAAGGTGGCAGACATAAAGGATAATAGTGAGAAGCTCAACTTGCTGCAAAGGGGGCCAAAGTGGGGTTGGGGGTAGGATCTGGGCTCCAAACAAGCTAAGGGGGCTGAGAAGGTATTTCATAGACCAACATCGTACAGTACTTTCCCAGGCCCACCTCCAAGGAGCTTGGGTGCCAGGCCCTACTCATCTGTATTTTAAACACCACAAGCAATCCTTTTGGCTCTGAAGAGGCAGTAACTAGGATGGAATCCAAGGCTCCCCCATCCTCTTTTTGAGACAGGGTCTCACTAAGTTGCTAAATTGCCCAGGTAGGGCTCAAATTTGCAATCCTCCTGTCTCAGTCTCTCAGAGTGCTGGGATTACAAGCTCAGCAACACTATGCCTAGCCCCTAAGTGATTCTTAAACAGCGAGTAGATAGATGTTTCTGCAGCTAACATTGCAGTAAGAAGCATTTTGTTAATGTAAATCCAGAGGGCAGACTGACAGCAGAAGATTTAAGTACTTTCAGGTGTAATGAGGCCTTAGCCTAAGGATGGAGTGGTGAAAGGGGGGAAGGAAAGGCAAAGGGAAACAGACAGAAGCAAACAACATGCAAGAAAAACTGGCAGATTTGGGAATTGAGTAGTTCTGGAGAGGCAGCGGGAACACCAATGTTTGATAAGAAAATTCCATTAACAGAAATTCAGGAGCTCAAGGGAAGCTGGTTTCAGTAGGAAGAATTGGATTTAAAACTATTGAATTGAGGTAACAGTAAACTAATGAAGGAAAAATGAGCAGCACACAAAAATACAGAACTAAAGAAATGAAGTCACCAAGTCTATATAACCTTCCAAGGACCAAGAGAACAGAGGGGCTCTGGGAGATACTGTTAGTGAATCAGAGAAGAAAAAAAAAAAAAAAAAAAATTGGGAGTGAGCAGAGAGGTCACAAGAAAAGAGTGCCAAGAAAAAGGAGACCAGGAGCTTGGGGACTCGGTGTATACAGTCAGACATCAAAATTTCTGACTCCCTGCCCTGCAGCTCCAATTGGTATGATTACCACACAACATCAGCAATTCCTCTGGGTGAGAATTTACTGTACCCAAATGTCAGAGGGCAAAAAACACAAAGTGAACATCCTGGTGGCAAGGCCATTTGAACCTGTGCGTTATGGGGGACGGGCATCTGACACAGAAGTGGTTCCAATCAAGCATGGTCTTTGCATCCCTTCCAAACTGTTCATTCCACTGAGGCCAGGAGGCATAAGGAACTGAGGTAGACAGAGCAGAGGTCCTGAATCCTTAGAACCAAGATACTGGAGCCTGGAGGTCCGAGTGGTGTCTGCTGAAATGAAAAGGGCCCAAGGAGCTGAGTAAACTAGAAGGAGCCTCAGAGGGTGAAATGCAAACAAAACAGCCTCCTTTCCAGGCACCAAAGGCCTAGCAGCAAAAATCAGCCTGTAGCAAAGACATATAAAAGCCCTCAAGTCTATGTTTCTTCTGTCTTTGAGATGCCCCACATTGTAGGAGTGGATGCTTTTCTTTTTATTCTAATAAACACACAGTCATTCCCCACTGCTATGTGGGGTTTAGTCTTTGCCTCAAAACAAGGATCCAGAGTAGGAGGGAGCTGATTACACCACCCCTGCCTCCCAGTGAGAAGACTCTCAAGAAGCCTTGTGGTCTGAAAAGGAGGGAGGGGGGAAGGAGAGGAAGAGGAAGAGGAGGGAGGAGAGGAGGAGCAGGAGGGAAGGGGTGGCGAATAGGGAGGCGGAAGATGGGAAGAGGAGAAAAAGGATAAGTCAAATTCTGATAGGTCATCCCACAGGCCATCATGAAAACCTGAAACCCAGGGGAGGTGTCTCCCCATTGTTCCCAGAGACAACAAATACCTGGGCTGATTAAGTGATTCCTACACCCAAGTCGCAACTTCCTCCTTTCTTAAAAGGGGACAATGTCAACAATTCCCTAGTCACTTCACGAATTTAAATATGATCATAGCAGTGATGTTCAATGGGGTGGGAGGTTGTATTTTAGCATAAAATGTTTTTAAAGCAGGTACAGTGGCATGTAATTCCAGTATTTTGGGAGGCTGAGACAAAGACTACAAGTTTGTGCCTTGCCTGAGTAACAAGTGAGACAACTCAAAATGAAAAATGCAAAGGACTGGGGATGTCAATCAATGCAAAGGTCCGTAGCTGGGAGCCCACTGCTGGCCCGCAGGGGTCTACCCGAGGTGTAAGCTCTCCCTGCCCTGGAAGGAAGGTGAAGGGTGGGTAGGGGACAGGGGGGTCAGTCAGTCTTGCTGACCCAGGGAGGCCTAAAGACTGCAATAAGCGTTGGAGTCATCAGCGACGTTGTCCATTAGCTTCCCATGGCTGGCTGAAAGGTGAGGTTTTGTACTGGGCATTGAACCCAAGACCTTTGTATTGAGCTACATCTCCTGTCCTTTTAAATTTATTTTTGAGGGGCCTGGCCCTAGCTCAGTTCTTTAAGTGGCTGTTTCCATAAAGCTGTCAGCCTCAGGTTGCTGTAGTTGGATCCCCACAACACTCCAGCCAGCCAAAAGTGCCCTGAAGGCATTCGAGGAGCAAAAAAATAAATAAATAAAAATAAAAAAATCCTTCTTAAATTTATTTTTGAGATAGAATCTCACTATGTTTCTAATTGTTCAGGCTGAGTTAGAACTTCTGACCCTTCTGTCTCAGCCTCCCAGAATGAGGGGAATACAGGTACGTACCACCATACCCCGCTGAAACAAAATGCTTAATTCAGAAGAAAGACAAACCTCGGGATCACTTACGCAAGATTAATGACCCAGCAATCCCTGTACCCTGTAAAATTAAAATGTCAGAGCCCAGTTAATGTAGACCACTTGCCCCAAGACGACCACACAACTCTGGGTGAGGAGTAGCAACGCACTCACCCCCATTTCTTTGCATAGTGGCCATAGGAGGCGGTGCGGGTGGGCGTTTCTGGTACTCAGCTGCCCAATATCTGGGCTGCTGCAATATCTGCCTGGCCCTAGAGAGCCACAAGGCACGCCTGTGGAGCCGGATTCAAATTCTCCGGTCCAGAAGCCCTGCCGTCTTTCGTTGGCAGCACCCTGGTAGACAGGGCAGGACCCATCTCACCCACCTCCAGGTTGTGGACGGAGAGCTGCAAGGGGGACAGGAAGAAGTAGGGTACGCCGCTACCCGCGCCCGGGGGCCCGTCGCTGAGCGAGAGCACGTCCGCGAAGGGCTGGCCGCGCACCGCTTCTAGCACCGAGATGGTGGCCAGCGCGCCCCACTCGCTGACGTGCGCCACGAAGCGGGCCACGCGCGCCGCGTCCTCGCGGGGTGGCAGCGGCGGCATTGGCGTGGGTTTCTCCCAGTCCCCGAAGCTCAGGGCTGGCGAAACCAGCAGCGCTAAGAGTGCGGGCGCCAGCAAAGCGCCTAGCACGGCGCGCGCAGAAGCGTAATCCCAGCCGGCCATGGCGACGTCCCCAACAGAGAGGTCCCGCGAGGAGCTACTTAGGGGATCGGGTTTGCCAGGCCACGCCCCCTGAGGCGACCAATCAGGGGCGAGAAAACTGGGGGCGGGGCCTGAGCGCTCCGCCTCCTTGGGAGGGGCGTCAGTTTGTGTTCCTTCTACCTACTCCAGTGTCTCTAGAGGCTGCGAGTTGGCCCTAAAAGGAGTGTTTGTTTTGTCTCCAGGTGGACTTAGGAAGGCTGGGAGGAATGAAGCAACTCGCTCAAGTCGTACGGTTAAGACAGGACTGACTGCTTCACATCGGCGGCGCAGGCACCTTTGGGTATTGAACACCCGCATCCAGCGGGGAGGCTGAGCCCCGCGCGCAGACCTTCATCGAAGAGCAGCCAGGCGTCGGCGAGCAAAGGACGCCGCGACAGAGGCGCGAAGAGGGTGTTCGTCCACACAGTATCCCCTGCGTGAACTTGAACTCGCTGGGGCGGGGCTGTTAAGGCGTCAGGTGTGCGGCCCGAACTTCAGCGCAGAGGCGTGTTTCCTCTTCCGTCGTCTAAAGAGGCGCCCTCGTTCTGTTCTGGTAGACACGCAGTTGGCCCACCTGCTTTGTCATTTCAAGCCTGGTTCTTATCTTCTCGGAGAATCTTGATCTTCTTGAACTGGCCACAAATCTAATACTTCCGATATAGGTTTTGTGGAGGTGCTGGTGTTTGTCAGCTCGGAAATTCAGCTCTGGGTGAAACCTGGCTAGTCTTTTTGTTGTTGTTGTTTTTTGAGAAGTGCTGTATCTTGGCCTCTGTGTGCCAGTCATGTGGGCAGGTGTGGGCAGCAGGTGTGTGATTTCAAGTCCTGCATGTTCTTCCTGTCTCCAGCTCAGCCTCTGTATACTTGGCAACTTCCGGGCTGCTCAGCTGAAACTTGTGTACATTAACAACTTGTAACTAAATAGTTCTCCCTCCCTCTGGTGGCCAATCGAGGTCACACACACTGGTCTCCATTTGGGGCTGAGGGGTGGGAGCCACGCTCAAAGTTAGTTTTGCTTTTTAACCATTTAATTTAGGAGAATTTCAAACCGGATGGAAAACTAAGTGGGAAAAATTTAAAAAGAAGAAAGCCGAGTCCATCAGTTGCAAAAAAAAAAAAAAATATGAATAGTTTGGGTGCTGAGCTACTACAAATATTTTATCCTTAACATGTTAATAAAAGATACATTTGCAGATCTAATGTCATGTGTTCAAGTCACAGGACCATGGGTCTTTCCAACTTTTTGGGCCTCAGCGTTTTCATCTAAAACGGGAGCTGTATTAGATGAATAGATGATCTCTGATACCCTTTCTAGCTTTATAGTTTTCTATTTAACATGCAAACTATGAGCCCCTTATGGGTTTCACAATTTGAATTACTTGATAAGAGAATGGAAACGTAACTGTTTATTGCTACAGCACTCACAGTGGCATAGGAAATAATGATAGACTCTGTTAGAAAAGTGGTGCCCAGAAGTTGGTCTCCAGCCTCAGCATTCGAGAATGAGGCCTACAAGCGCCCCATCTCAGCCTGCGCCTCCTGCACTTGCTGTTCCCTTGTTAAAATGCAAGTGCCTTCCACACCCCTTTTTCTAAGAAGCCTTTCCCAGTTGCTGACCATCAGGCAGCCCTGTTCGTTGCCTTCGCAGCCATCAGTACACCTTGTAATGACTGCACTTAATTAACTACTTGTTAATTGTCCCGCTGCTCCCATGGAAGCTCCTCTGGGAGGACAGGAATGTTGTCTGCCTTGTTCCTGTCCACGTTCCCAGTGCACAGAGAGGGCATTCGACAAATATTTGTTGAATGACTGCTGACTTGATGCGTAATAGCTGATGGGATACTCTGCACGTAGATCTGTATAAAAACAATAGTAGGAAGTGAGGATGAGTGTAACAGCGAGGTGCATTAAGTCCTGATTAGTGAATCTGCCTCACTGGGTTGAGCTCCGCACCCCTGGGGTGCTCGTTCCAGACACTGCGGCCTCTGTTTGCCCTGACTTTCTGTTTCTATTACAGCAGCCTGCACTGATCCCTACCCTCCTGGGCCCACCATGAAACAGCTGTCTTCTCCTGGTGGCTAGCCGTGATATTGTGGAAGAACCAACCTGCAAGCTGTCTCTTTCACATTAGTGTTTCCTTGTTTATTTGTCTTGGAGCCACCAGTGGAAGTTCCTTCTAGATCAGGGGCAATGGCGTTGTCACCTTCCTGACCCAGCACCCAGCACTGGGTGTCTAGCAGGCACCTATGCATGCTGTTGTAAAATGAGCTGTATCAAGACAGTTATACCACATGCTGAGTGTGATCAGGCGGTCTGCAATCGTGTAACTGCTCGGGCTTAAAGATGAGAAGCCTGCTTTGGAATATGTGTGTTTTAAATAGGAGCTGGAGAAGTGCTGAAGACAGCTAACTTCAAAGTCAGTCACTTAAGGGCTGGTGAAATAGCTCAGTAGACTAAGCACCTGCTTAGGCAAGCGCAGGGCCCGGGCTTTGATCCCAGCGCCACATGCCACACTGGCCCAGCCCCCAGGTGAGCTGAGCTAGCCACTGAGACTGGGCATGGAGACGCGCACCTGTAATCCCAGAGCTGAAGAGGCTGGAAACAGGAGGATCATTATAAGCCCAAGCTGCATAGTGAGAACCTGTACAAAATACATTTAAAAAAAAATTTTTTTTTAAAGTCAGACAATAAGGTTTTCTGTAAAAAATGTTTTTGGTATAAAACCAAATTAAGAAACAAAGGTTTTCACATGTGTGGTAATTCATTGTTAATCTCATGGTGTATGAAGTGTATTCATGATCACAAGTGTACAGGTCTTCTAAATGTAAGAAAAAGAGGCTTTCACAGCTCACCCTACTTTGAGAGGGAGGAAATGCACTTACAGATTTTTCATTAAGCAGATGTTCTTTCCTCCAAAGTTTTTCCCTGAACCTAAAAGCTAGTAATGAAAAACCCACTCTTTTGCTTTATTGTGTGGATTTACATTTAGCTAATTATTTTCTAGATGCTTTGGGAATAATTCTTGACACTTCTAAATCTAGAGGATTTGTTGTCTAAATGCACTGATAGTGCTTAGCATATAAAAAGTGGTGCTAAGAGCTTTTGGATTGGACCTTTCAAACAGAAATATACATCAACCTGGCTTTAAAACAGTATTTAGCTCAGTATTTCAGTATGTCCTATAATATTAACTATAGAAAGTTATTGATAGATCAGAAGAAAGTAATCACCATAATAAATTCAAAGCAGAAATGAAAGAGTGTCTATACA